AATTCCCCAGCCAGCATGCTGGCTGGGGAATTCTGGGAGTTGAAGTCCACACCTCTTAAACCCGAAAAACACTGCTTTAGACTCACTTTGAGAATAGGAGGAGTCACAACTCTCAGACAGATTCCCACCCTGTCTCTCTTCCTTCCACCCATCTGACAACCGGGAAAACTCTGCTGGGTGGACTTTCAACTTACTCCCTCCAACCCTTGCCGGAAAAAATGAGACGCACACCCCGCGAATAAAAATAAACTCAGATCCTTTCAGGCGCCCTCCGTGTTGCTCTTTTCTTCCTTCGGTTTTCAGCATTGGCCCCGGACTGCGGTTCGCGACCCTTGCTTCCCCCCTGAAGCCCCTTGCGGGCTTTAACAAAAAGGGGACGGCAGATGGTGCAGCCGGAGGAAGGGGCGGCGGGGAGGGGGCGAGACCTGTTTTTTTGGGAATTGGCCAAGCCGCCTCGGTTCGTTGCTAATCGCAAGGAGGCGAAAAAAGGCTCTTGTGGCTTTTGTTTCCTCCCCCAAACGTTGCTGCAAACGTCCGTTTGTTAACCACATCCTTTTTAGCTGCCAGCGAGGCCTCTCTGCGTCCCCGGGACCCCTTGTGGCTTCTGGACCGCCGCCCCCTCCCATGTTCGCCTCCTTCCTCTCCGCTCACTGTGCCGAGGCTCTGCCTGTCGGGTTGAAGCAACCCCACGTCTTTTGCACCACCCCTCCCCTTGCTTCACTCTGTGTGTGTCTCTTTGTGTGTTCTCCTCCCCCTGTCTCAGCCTTGGGTAGAAAACAGCTGTCCCTCGTGGCAAGCCGCATAGATCAACCCAGACGTTCGCGTGGTTTATGCTTGTTTGGCCTCCAGCTCTCTGCCCTCAGCCACATCCGATGCGGCAGGGGCCAGCAGCAAGCGTCTTTCCCGCTTGGGCTGGGTGGGAGTGGGAAGAAAATACCCATGGCTTTCGCTGAGGGCCTTTTGAGAAAACAGCAAGGGTGGGCATGTCTGACGGGGTGGGCGCCTGGGACGGCGCAAGGGAGAAAGACGCCTTCGCCCTCCTCGGTGCAAACTTGCCACATCTTTTGGCTCGCGTTACATTGGTGCTGTCCGCTTCCCTTGGGGACCCTCACGAGATGGTCCCTTCTTTCTATGCCAAGTTCTTCTTAGATAGACATTGGCAGGCCAAAACACGCTGGCAAAAAAATGGCCCGTTTGGATAGCCCCTCTCTCTTCCCCTTCCCCAGATAAAGGTGAAAATGTGGGGCTTTTTTTCAGGATGGGGGACGGCTGCGGGTGTAAAGCTTCACCTTCCCGTTTTCACCTTTATCTGGGGAAGGGGAAGAGAGCTGAAGCGACCCCGAAATTTCGCCGTTTTGCTGCCACGTTTCAGCACGGCGCAGTTGTCGGTGGTCCTGGGGAAGGGAGGGGGGTGGAGAATTTTTTAGGAGTGGGGATGAGAGTGGGAGAGACCTTTAAAACTCCAAAAGGGACCCCCCCCCAATGGCCCCCCCCCAATGGCCCCACCTTTCAGGCAGAATGCATCTGCAGAGACAGCAATAGAGAAAAGGCTGGAGAAATTGAATGGATTTCTTTCCCGGTCTTCAAACCTGGAGATGCTTAGATTCCCAGTCTGTTTGGCTTGCAGAATCCTTGGCTGGAAATGCTGTTCTTCCCATCCGCAGCA